GACTAACTGATTCACCACGTTTACCTTCTTAGTCCAACGAGAGAGAACTAGAACACCACAGCTGAGAGCCAGACTGACTAAGCTAAAACTCTCTGAGACACATTATTAGGCCAACAGAAATGCTAATAGGACACTTGCATATTTATGTTGCATAGTTTCAAAGGCATCTAAGACCCGGATGGGAGTAAGCGTCAGTGTTGGGGTTATATTTTCTTTCACTTGGACGAGGATCCCTGACCCTGCTTTATGTCACGGGCAGAGCGACAAAATTCTCTGAGAACAACAACAATGGGACAAACTTACAGCACCGGTGTCGTGTCTACAGTGGAACTATGAGCACACCTGATTCTGTGTTTAATCCTCACTATTCCCACATTTCATATCTCTGGGAAACACAGCTGACCTCACTGATTGTGAAACCTCCAGGATTGGCAGACGTTTTGAAACACCGCCGTCTGCGTGGATCGTATCACTCCACGTTCTTTGGTTTCGATGTGTCACACCAATTTCAAATGATCATTTTCCAGACGAAAACAAAGACATTCACCGTGGATAATGAACTACAGGCGCTGCTGAGCTCACGTCTAAACTCTGCTACTGTACTACTGCCTAAGTATTAGCTGTATCACAGCAGCAGGACTCTGTGTGGCTTCCCACGAGGCATATTCTGCTGTCCTGCTGCCACATGGATCAACACCAGAATATGTTATGTGTGATCTTGCATATGACACTGCACTGAAATATAGATGAGCCAGGTTTAAAGACGACCTGAGCAGCGTAGGTGTCGGTTACTACTGGGCTTGCTGTGAATTTCACGACGACTGGTGTTGCTTCGTACTCATTATGATTCTGATTCTGTCAGAAAACACTTATTTTCTCACCGTTGTTGCTCTTCTGCTGAGCTGTGCCGGCCTTCAACACAAAAAAATATAACACCAGCACAAGCCAGTTTCATCTGTGCCATTGTTTTAACATATTGCTTTGTTTCACCCACTTCCTTGTTCATTGGCACATTTGTGGTCAACCCAAATGTACCAGAAAATCTGTGGGCTTTCTCAAACACTTTCAGATTTAGGAAAATTCCATCCGAGCTTGGTTTGCTTTTCCAAGAATCTTTGGTTGGAAAAAATCTAACAAGAATATTGAAAGCGTGTAATTATCTTGCTGCTTTTGACCAGGAAACATCAAACAGGTGTCAATGGGGAAGCTAAAATTACATATCTGAGGACGTGACTTCACACATTCACGGTGAGCATGCACGTGGATGCATGTGATGGCAAGAAAAGACTATTTTAGAAGCATTCAAAGCAAAGACTGCAGGTTTCATGACGCCAAAGCATGACAATGGTACCGATGGAGCACATGAAAGCATGGAGTCCAAGAGATGAGGCGAAAAAAGCGTGAAAACTGTGGGTTTGAACTTAAAACAAACTTCTAAATCCTTTTTTCCCCTCCCTGTTACATCATCCTGACATTACTATATCTGCAAAGCAAGGAAGGCGCACAGTTAGCTGCCCGATACTGAAATATTTGGAAAAAATTACATCAGTTGTACCGAGTACTACATATTTTTCCACAGAGTGCATTTAAGCAATGAAAAGACACAGAGCATCAAAAAGAAGCCAGAAATGTGTTCAGCTTGTTAGTGTGTGTTTAAAGAGCAGGCTTTCACTGCTTAATCCTGACGAGGAAGACGTCTAATATAAAGAGTCATTTGTCCCGCTTACAGGACTATGTTTTTAAAGCCATGCAGATTTTGATTTTAAGCACTGATTGGATATAAATCAACGTCTCTATCGATTAAACTTGTCGTGATATTTTCAGGTAACCACGCCCGTTTTGATGTTTGATGTAGTGCGTTGTTCCTGCTCAGGGTTCAGATCGTTCGCCTAAGACTACAAATCGCCCGCTGATATCACTGTTAATGTGTGCTACTACAAAGTCACACCTCACAGCTGCCGGATCGCGGGAAACGTCTTAAACTGGAAATGCACAAAAAGGCTTTTAGCGCAAATATGACTGCGGTTAGCGTGCTCCACAAAATGTAAACGCAAACAGAAAAAAAGAACAACTTGACTGTGGTTTGATGATGTGTCAAAAACAACCAGGTCCATATGTAGCACAAAGTCCGATTTCAACTGCAGCTATTTTTAATTGAGACATTAAACGGCAAATGTCTCTGGCTGTGAGTGTTTGATGGTGTATAATACTGCATATCTATACACAAGCTGACTGGTTTTCTTTAACAGTTAAAATAAAATTGAAATTAAAAGCAAAATAAAGCAAAATAAAACAAAATAAAACACATTTCTCAAGTAAAAACACAAAAACTGATCCAAACCTGCAGGAGAACAGAGGCTTTTTGGAGGACTGTACTGGATCCAGACATTTACCAGCTAAAATAATCTTCTGCTGGGCAGGTATTCGGTTTTTAATTAAACACTCTTTTTGTTTCATTTAATGTGGGAAAAAAAGCATCGCTCTCACAGCAGCGATCAGACTTCGGGTCACCTTTCGCTAACTTAGCATCCTCATTAGGTTGACAGAGTTTATTTATGCCTGCTTACACAGGCAGAGGCTGCATGACAGAAAAAAATAAAAACATCCTGTTGCATGTATTGTTCTCACTAAGTGATCATTTTACACATAATTACAGCTGTTGTCTGTGTTTTGTTGGAGTATCCCAGTATTCCCATTATTATCTGACAGAGCTCCATTTGCAGTGGAGAGTGTGAAAACCGAGATGTTCTGCTTAAAGGGAACATTTACTTTAAGTTTGTCGGACCAGGGTACAGATTCACTCTGGAACGATGAGGTAAGTGAACAGAGCTGCACATGTTAGACCCAAACAACTTGTACTAAATGAAAACAAAGTACGACAAACATACTTCACAAGAAGCACGATTAGAATCACAGACTTTATACATAAAAGAGAGAAGTTTAAAGAAAAGAAACAAAAACATATACAGGTGTTTTACAAGGTCGTCTAACAGGAAGGCTGTAGCTTTACTTACAAAAAGCACGAGTCTGAGCACTGAATGAATACAACCACACAGCACTCACAATATATCTCTCAAGTAGGGCTGCAACGATACACAAAA